GACTGACTCCTGTGCATATGATTAATGCATATATAGGGCAAACCAGGATAATTCAGACCTTTTTCTTCCACAGCAGGTTTTCAGCCGGAATTATCTGGATGTTTGCCTCAACTCTCCATTAGGCTTTGCCAGGATAAACACAGCCAGTGGAGTATGCAGGAGACAGGGACCACTCCCTCTCTCCAAGGTTCCCTTCAACACCCACACCCCGCGCAGCTGAGCTGAGTGGGATCTGTCCAGACAAGCATTCCTTGTGGGGGCAAATGTAAATTCTGTCTAATGAATCCCTAGGAATCCTCAAGAACCCTAAGTCTTCCATTCTGCTTAGGTGACAAATGGAAAAACATAGAGTGAAGGGGGACAACTCTACTAATGGGGAAAATGTTATCCTATTCCCTTCCCATTCCAGAATGAGAATGGTGAAGCCAAAGCTGATGTGACCCCAATCAAATTAATTAGTATATGTCTGTATATTTTCTTTTAAGATATGGACACCTGGGTTGTCTTTTTTTTTAATTTTTAAAGTAGATGTTGTTAGGTGCCAATCAGTCACTTCCAACTCATAACGACCCTGTGTACAACAGAACAAAGCACTGCCCAGTCCAGCGTCATCCTCACCATCATTGTTATGTTTGAGCCCATTGTTGCAGCAACTGTATCAATTCATCTTATTGAGGGTGTCCCTCTTTTCTTACTGACCCTCTACTTTACCAAGCATGATGTCCTTCTCCAGGGACTTGTCTCTCCTGATAACATGTCTAAAGTACATGAGACAAAGTCTCACCATCCTCCCTTAAGGAGCACTCTGGCTGTATCCAAGACAGATTCATTCATTCTTCTGGCAGTCCATGGTACATTCAATATTCTTCAACACCACCACAATTAAAAGGCATCAACTCTTTTTTAGTGTTCCTCATCCATTGGCTAGTTCTGCATGCATATGATGTGATTGAAAATACCATGGCTTACATTATGCTGAGTGAAATAAGTCAATCACAAAAGGACAAATATTGTATTAGTCCATTATTGTAAAAGTTAAAGAAAGGTTTATCCATAGAAGGA